CAGGAAAACAAGTGAAAGGGGATTGAGAATGGATATTAAAAGAAGGAATCTACATCAGCCATTCTAACTTTAATACATTTTGATATGTAGTACTTTCATTATTAAGCTCTTATAAATATTGAGAAATTTCTATCTTGATTTTACTCTTTAAATCCATGAAATATTTGGAATACATTTAAGTTTCCAAACATAGTTTGTTTTTTTTTTTACTACTATATTTTACTGTTGACTTCTAATTCAATTCTGTTCTTTTCAGAAAATATAGATTGCATAATATGTATCCTTTTAGGTTGGTTGAGATTTTGTGTTGTAGTACAGGGCCAATCAAAACAAAAATCTGTCCTGGCTTGAAAAGACTATTTTATGTTTTATATTGGAAGTAGAGATATTCTAAGTTTTTAATATTTCCACCAATATTTTGTTTTGTCTGCATATGTATAATCATTCACTATAAAAGTTGATTTGTCCATTTCTCTTTGTAATTCTGGGGTTTTGTTTTACATACTTATATTTTATGCTATTAGGAACATAATTCACTGTTTCTTGGGAACTTTTTATTATATAGTATTTCATTACTGCTTTGCCTTAAGTTTTATCCTGTATGTTACTAATATTGCTAAATATACTTGGCTTTAGTTAGTATTTGCAGAGTACATGAGTTAAGAATGTGTCTGATTGCGAATAGCTCAGTAAGGCTTTCTTTTTCTCATAAAGCAAGAAGTCTCATGGAATACTATTCAGGCATTGACTTACTGATGTGGTTTGAGACCCCAGCCTCCTCTTCTTTTTCATTATTAATGTTTTTTTGGGGTTTTTTTGCCCTCAAGTTTGCACAGTGGCTAACCTCTAGACTCACAGCTGCTTTTGAAGAGGAAAAAGGTTGTAGAGACAAATGGCTTCTTTTCATGATGCTTTGTCTTTTATTTAGGAAAGAAATCTCTTCTCATTAACATTTTTGTGAACATCTTACTGGATTTGCTGTATGGCCACTTCTTGCTGGATGGGAGCAAGATAAAAAAGGAGTTTAGATGGAGGTTGGGTCAGCCTGTTAACACCAAGTATATTTTTCATCTCTTTATTTCCTATCATTCAGAGCAGTAAATTTTGAATTTTTATCCAATCTGATAATCTCTATTTTTTACTAGATGAGTTGAAGTTTTTTACATTTTTGCAATGCTGATATTTGGGGCTTATTTTTCTTATTTTGTACTTTCTATTTTTATTCTATTTTCTTTGCTTTTCTCCCTTTATTGCCTTATCTTAGATCAATAAATTTAATCCTGTTTTTCCCTTGGTTTTGACTTTATAAGTCACTGTTCTGTTTCTTAAGTGGTTGTTCCTAAGTTCTCAATATACATATTTAACCATATGTTTTTCTAAGAAAGTAAGAAGTAATTGGGTATTATATCATGTTTTGAAAAGCATTATGGAGTTTAGCATACTTTGACCAGTTGCTGCTCCTCTAAATACTCCATGACTGTCTTGTTATAGTTATCCAGAATTTTGGTTTTATACTGTTTAATCACCTGATTTATTTCTTCACACAGATATTAAATATTTTGACATGTTTATTATTTTAGGCCATTTGTTGAAACTTGTAGGCCGTTCTTTCTGATAAGCTCACTTTTTTCCCTTATAAGTTTCTAAATATAGTTATCCTTTGATTGTTCTTAATGGTTTGAGGGTAGTAAACTGTCCGTATCTTTCTGTGTCTGATAGTAGCTATTCTCTTTCCAGCCCACACAAACCACCCCCACCCTGTCCACAGCTTTTGAGGGCTCACATTCTCTCTCCTCTAAATGGTAGTTTATCTGGGTATCAAAGTTTTGATAGACAATCATTTCTTATTATTATTTGAGGCTTTACTCCACTGTCTTCTAGAATAAGTAGTAACTGATAAGCCTGTTAGTATAATCACTTTTATTTTATAGGTCATATCTTTTCTCTCTCATAGCTTTTAATTTCTTTTGGGGGATGTTTGCTATTTCTGTGTGATTTAAGTTTATCCTGCTTGGTACTTTTTTTTAATTTTTATTTTATTTTGGAGTATAGTTGATTAACTCCTGCTTGGTACTTTGAATGTTCTTTTGATCGATAGACTGGAGTGGCATCTTTCTTCAAATCTAGAAAATTCTTAGTATTTTTCAAATATTTCTTCGATTCTCTTGAAGCTTTTACTAGATGTATTTGAAAACTTTTAGTATGTTCTGTCTCATCTGTTTTCTCAAACATTTATTTCTTATCTAGCTACCATTCAATTCAATAATTCTTTGTGGCTGAGAGTTTTTCCATTTGCTTTTTAAAATTAATTAATTAATTAATTTGTTTTTGGCTGTGTTGGGTCTTCATTGCTGCGCACGGGCTTTCTCATTGCAGCGAGTGGGGGCTCCTCTTCGTTGGGGTGCACGGGCTTCTCATCGCGGTGGCTTCTCTTGTTGTGGAGCATGGGCTCTAGGTGTGTAGGCTTCAGTAGCTGTGGTATGCAGGCTCAGTAGTTGTGGCGCACGGGCTTAGTTGCTCTGCGGCATGTGAGATCTTCCTGGACTAGGGCTCAAACCCATGTCCCCTGCATTGGCAGGCAGATTCTTATCCACTGCGCTACCAGGGAAGTCCCCCCATTTGCTTTTTAAGTGGGTTTTTAAACAAATACTTCCAAGATTTCCAATGGGTTGTTTAAAAAAATATCTACCTGTTCTTTATTTCTGCTTTTTGCTTCAGTTTTAATGGAAGAGTAAAAAATTTCCTTTGAGTATCATAAATAAAGCTAGTCATTATTTCTAAATTATTTCAGCTGGAATGAATTCATTTAACGAATGTTGATTCTGCTGGCTCTTAGCTTTAGATGTCTTTTGAAGTTTGATTGCAAGTCCATTTAAAAATGAGTCTTTTTTTCCTTCACTACTTTCCTCCCTTCTGCCCTCCCTCATTTCCCCCACTTTCTATTTCTATATTCATTCTTCCCTGTCCAGCAGTTTTATGTTTTTTTCTTTTACCCCTATGATTTAAATAAACATTGTATTGGCATTTTGAGGCTCCTGTTGGTGATGATGAGAATACTGCATATACTGTTAAAAGTTAGAAGATGAATTGATTATCTGCTCATTTCTAGAAATGAAGCTTTCTCTGTATCTTCAAGTCTCCTTAGGCTTATGGCTTGTCAAAAGCCCCAATTTTAGTCAGTTTTATACATATGTAAGTATTTTGTTTATATATTTTCTTTATATAAATTATATATTTTAATTAAACATATGTTATTTTTAGTAGTCTTACCCAGTCATGAATCTTAAGCAGTGAGCTTACTGCTGGTCATACATCTCATATGCAATTCTTTGAGTCCTTTATATCCTAATGGAGCCAAATTTGGTTTCCATTGCTTGCATTTGCCTCAGAACTAGTCCTACTTCTTTGTCCAAGGGATATTTATTTTGTGTTTGAACATGGTTATATCTTTGGCCATTGCTGTGTGATCACTGATCGATATGTGTCGGCATGTACTGATTGTTCCTTTTCTGATCAGAAAAGTTCTGGATTTCAGATCTCTTACCAGTTTCAAAACATACTTCTGAAACTTCCTTGGGCAAAAGACAGGCACACTTTTCCATGCTCTGTTTCACTGTACATATAAACATTTGATTTTGACCTATTTTAATATCCAGTTTTTTTTTTCTAGGCAAGTAGGAATATCCAGTAGGGTGGGTAGAAAATTTTCTCTTACATCTGATACTTCAGATGAAGTGCTGATATCCTCTCTTGTGTTTCCAAATTGCTAGCTCTTACTCTCCTATTTACTGTGTGTCTTCTGAATGTTTCAAGTTGTTTTCTTTGTCTTTTCTTTTTCTCTGGAGAATGTTACTGGCCTTTTAGAAGTATTTTGAGAAAAAATGTTATTCTCCAAAAGTAAGACTAAGAACCAATGACAATAAAGATAAAATGCCTGATATGCTTTAGAAAGTCAGAAGACAGATACTCCTTAATGAAAAGAAAGTATAGAAATAATGGAGAGTTGGGGCTTGGGGAATCCAGGCACAGCAGAATTATAATAGGAAAACAATGAAATTAAGACCTAGTTGAGAGAATCTAGGTGTAATGAAAATGCTGACATGTTCAGTTAATACTTGATTCATTTAGTGAAGGAAAATTATTGGATAGAAGAAATAAGAAAAACAACTCACTGTCAAGGAAACCATGATGTTTATCTTATTTTTAAACATTTGAGTACTTTGTAGCCAATGTGTACTCTATAAATTTAATTGTTAGTAGTATTAAGCTGGGTTTTTTTTGTTGTTTTCAGTTTTAAGTACAATAAAGACGTTCATACCTTTCTTTTTACCTGTTTCAGTATGGCTTGGGAAGAGAATTTGTTAGACGATTTACTAAATTTTGCTGCCACTCCCAAAGGACTACAGCTTCTTCAAAGAACAGGTGCCATCAATGAATGTGTGACATTTATGTTCAACCAATACACAAAAGAATTACAGGTGCGAATTACCATCTGCCACAGGCAAAAGGAACTTTCCTTTCTGTAAAAGCCATTAAGAACATTATTCTGTTTTCTTTGTGTGAAGAGATTATTAAACCTCAATTAAAAAACCATATAGCATTGTAATATTTAACGATATTTTTTCAGGAAAGCTTTAGAGAGTTGATGTTGGTATCTATGAGTATTTTACAGGCTGAAACAACTGGATGAAATTGAAAAACTCAGTTAATCATCTAGATGTTTTATAAATATGATATCAAACATCTGGCTATACTAAAACTCGGTGGAATTCCAGGAGAAAAACCTTTTGGGTCTAAGTGTATGTGTCAGTGGGAGTTTAGGGTTCACATTTTGGAAGAAATAAATATATTTGTAGAGGAGTTTTGTTATTGGTACTATTAAATAAAATTTACTATAAATTTAGCCCTTTATCAGACAGAGATCATTGAGGTATATTCATCATTTTGCTGTTACAGTAAATATCCCTAGACATCAAGGCTTCTTAGGATCATAGGTATGCTTTTAAAGGTGTTTCCTTTATCTCTGGAAGCTATTGTTTCTTGATGTTTAGACTTCTTTTTGTAGCCTAGCAGAAGAGGCTAGGGCCTCTTGGGGATCTTTTTTTTTTTTTATAAGAGCACTAATTCCATTCGTGAGCATTCTCTACCTTCACAACCTAACAGCCTCCCAAAGGCTCCACTTCCTACCATTACTTCCAGGGCTTAGGATTTCAACATAGGAATTTTGAGAGGAGATAGACATTCAGAATGTAGCAAATATAGAAGGTTTTCAGGCCTTTAGTTTAAATAAATTGTGTTTTTATCTGCTGGTGAGTTTGAATTTCTCCTTGTGTACTAGTTAACCATTTGGGTTTCCCTTTTTTTTTCTTTCCATTTTTGAAAATATTCAAGCAACTGAGAGATATTTTTCTTTCTCATTCAGATTCTTGAGACCATGTAGACACAGCTTTTTACTGTTGTAATAATATACCTAGGACTAGATGTCTTTTTTTATATTCATAAATTTTAAAACAATCTGGTCTTCCTTTTAATATACTGTTTGTTTTAATAGAAGATGTTGTTCCCTGGACATCAGTAACTTACAACCATATAATTTAGTACAATAGTTTAATGTTGATTTACACCATTCAAGACATTTTTTGAACATTTAGATTCTCAGTTATCTTGTAAGAAGGCAACTAGACTTTCCTTAATTTTGCTGAAGAGAAATTGGAGATCCAGGCTGGTTATAAATGATATGCTTATGTTCACACATGTAGTTATTGATGGTAGTAATACTGGAACTCAGATTAGTCTTAACAATGTCCGTGAAATCTAAGTCTTGTTTAGTGAAGCCCCTCTAGCTTCTCTGAAGTTTTCCTCTGCCTTTCCTTTTTAGTATTTAGTGTTGATCTGGAAGACCCCTGTGGCTGCTAATATCTGAATCAGCAGTGTCCTTTGGGATGATTGATGAGTAAGGTGTTTTTTCCATTGTCATGGAAGAAGGCAAGTGGGAAAAAAGATAGACATTTATCTTGCTGTATTTCTGTGTTATCCCACTGCGGAACTAATGGATGATAATTTAGGAAAATGGAAAATAAGAGTAATAAAAATGGAAAAGGAAGGCAAATTTATAGAGAGATGAGCAGCAAAAAATTTTAAGAAATAAACCTAATTGTTTCCCATGGTCTTGTAGTCCCCCCCTGCCTTTTTTTATTTTTTTTGCCCTTAACATGGAATGTATAGTATTTTAAAAATTTGATAAAAACATATCCTTATCCTTTTAATGAAATGTTGAAAAATACAAATTCTAAATGGTTAGCTCTGTTTAGAAGTCAAACACTTTGTCTAAGGTCAGGCTGACCTATAAAGTCTGAGGAAGGAGGAATATTTTATAATGTCTTTATTTTCTTATTCTGATTTCTGCTAAGAGATACTTCTGAACTGTACCATGAATACATGGATGATATTCTTTGTGAAATAACAAATTATTTAAGGTTTTCTACAATGTTGTTTAGAAACCTGTATATTAAATGAGGATTGTGTGTGTGTGCGCATATGCGTGTATATACCTTCCTTCTTTAGGAAAAAAATCACATGGCCTCTAAAACTGTCACTTTTAAGAAGATACCATTATTCTTTTTAAAGTTGTTTATTTGAAAGCCCAGTTAAAAAACTGGCAGTCAATACACATTAATTAATGAGAATTTGTTATCAAAGAACCAACCTAAAGAATAAAATAGTAAGATAACAGAAATTAGAATTGGAAGGAGTTTCTCTTCATCTGGTCCAAAGTCCCTTATTTTATATATAAAGAGACATAGAGACATAGTGACTTGTTTAGGGTCATGAAGCAACATAGTTTTAGGGCTGGTTCCAGAACCTAGATCTCTGAAACAAGATTATCAAAAATATTACATTAGTATTAACTCACTGATTGTTATAGTTTGAGTTTTTTCTGCTCTTGTTATCCTTCCTTGAAAGACTGTCCAGCATTTTAATAAAGAAATCAGTAACTCTACATGTAACATGTAAGTAAAATATTAGCATGCTGTGTTTTCCTGCTTCTCATTATTCCTTATTTATGTTAGATCAACAGGCATAAAAAGTTTGGCTATGGAGTTCTGGTTACACACGTGGCATCAACAGCAGCAGGTGCAGTAGCACTGCAAAGTTCAGGTAAGTTCTTTAGAATTATAATTTAAATAAAATGAGTGAGTCTATACAAAATTTGACTGCCATGATCAAGTATCAGGTATTTCACTCAAAAGTTCTTTTTCCCAAGTTAGGCCTTAGGTAAAAGAATGTTATTGGGATTTCCTTTTTACCTTTTCTCTTCCATGAAACCCCACTAGGAATTTTTTTTTTCTCTGTAAAAAAATATATAAATTTTTTCTTTCCTCAGAACAATGGTGCATAATGATCTAAACTGAGTTATATTTGATGGCTTTAAGAAGCCTTCATCTTATAAATCAAAAGTTTGTCATCCTCTCTTGGTATAATTGCATCTGATAGGATTTAATGCTCAGTTTCAGTGAATTACATATAAATCAGGATTTCCAGTCATAATAATCACACATACATGCCATTTTCTTATTCCTTTTTCTCTTCCTTTCTTGAAAGATTCTCTCTCACCCACTTAATTTTCACCACTATTTTGGAGTTTGTAGTTGGCATGTATTGAATATTATCTACTACAGATTGGATTTTTAAGACATTCTAACATTGGGAGATTTAATATATTGTATATTAAGGTTATCTGAACCCTGAACCAGAGACAAGATGTAATCTCTAATAGAGATGCTGTGATTATATTTAAGTGTTAGAAGTGAAGAATCATAACATCAGTGGTCACTATTGATTCTCTCCTCAAATGTAAATATTTTTCTATAGTGTATCTTAAATATTTTTTGGCTGGACTAATTTGGAATACTTATGAAACACGTTTCTTGCAGAAGCTGCCCTAAGCTGAGCCACTTACTCTTTTACTTAAAATAAAATCCAATTTATTTATAGTATTGAGGGACACATTAATAGAAGCATTTGAAGACTAGATTCAATTCCAGATTTTCTTGTTGCTCAAGTCATTAAGCTTCTAAGCCTCATATATCCAACTTTTCTTGAGAGGATTAAATGCAGTTTTTCATAGGACAAAGGAAGGAAGACTAACACTGCTCGAGTTCCTCTGATGTCTTGGTACTATATTGGGACCTCTGTGTATATCATCCCATTTATACTTTATGGCAACCCTCAAATGCAACACTTTTCTCAGCTTTCAAATCGGGAACTGATGCTCTTAGAAGTCAAAAGATTCAAGGACATGTAACTAACAAGCTGGCAGATTTGTAACTTGAACACTGCTATTTTCGATTTCAGAGCCTATATGTTTTCCATTGTACCAGAGGACCCTTTCTGCTCTAATGTGTTATTACAAACTTACTGATTTATGATTAGGTGTTCTGTTTTGCACCTTTCCATATGCTTTGATTCCTCATAAAGGAATTTGATAATTGGGCTTAATAATCACTTTCATTTAGATTTATAGTATCTGACTCAGGAGAATTTAAAGACTGTATAGAGCCAGAAGTTGTATGAAGTGGAGAATTGTTCTCAGCATATGGAAATGCAAAAAAATTGTTACACTAAAGAAAGGGAACACACTCTCTTTGGATGTTTACTGTGCCTCCAGGATACCTCCTCCTTTACACACATACACCCCAGCTTTCAGGCTGCATTTCACTATTAGCTTATTTGCTGAGTAACATGTAAACCTTATTTTTTTCAGGAAAACATGCTTAGAGAGGTCATTGGCTAAAGGATAAAAACTGGGGCTCAAAATTCAATCCTCTAGGGAAATAGTCTTTGAGAGTTTAGGCATTCCATAGTTATATGATAATGAGCCAACAAGGATACAAGTATGTCTTCTGTCAGTGTGGACCAGTCTTGTCAGAAAGATAATTATGTCTTTCCTCCATAATCCAAAGAAGTAGTATATTATAAATATGATGTAAAATTCTTCTTAGGGTTTATTAATGCACTTTTAACTGAATTATGGGCCAATCTGGAATGTGGAAGAGATGATGTTAGGGTAACCCATCCCAAATCTACTCCAGTGGACCCTATTGACCGAAGCTGTCAAAAGGTAAGAAATGATTTAACTAACAATGTATAGATTTGAAATATCTCTCTCAAATTACTTCATCCAGACCTTAATCTATATTCATTTACAACCAGCAACCTTTCCTAATTTTTTTCCCTCCTTGCTTTTATTTCTAAATTTTTACTTTTAAAATAAACTTAGTAAAAGACAAATACCAGTGTTTCCTGTGAATTGTCTTGCAAGGACGTTTTTCTTTTAGGATATTCCTACTATAATTATTCTCAATTAATAAACAGTACACACCAGACATATTAAAAAAACAAAACAACAAATGCCGACTCAAAGGAAGTAGAAAAAGAACAAACAAACCCAAATTTAATAGAAGGAAAGAAATAATAAAAACCATAGCAGAAATAGAGACTAAGAAACCAATAGAAAAGATCAGTGAAACTAAGAGCTGGTTTTTTTAAAAGATAAATAAAATTGATAAACCTTTAGCCAGACTTCTCAAGAAAAGAGAGGAGCCAAATAAATTGGAAATGAAAAAGAAGTTAGAGTCAGTACCACAGAAATCATGATATTACTATGAACAATTATATGCCAATAAAATGGACAGCCTAGAAGAAATTGTATATTTCTAGGAATTTATCCATCTCCCAAGACTGAATCGGAAAGAAATACAAAATATGAGCAGACAGATGACCAGTAACAAAATTGAATCAGTAATTTTTAAAAACTCCCAACAAAAGTCCAGGATCAGATGGCTTCACAGGTGAATTATACCAAACATTTAAAGAGTTAATGCTTTTCTTTCTCAAACTATTACAAGTTTGAGAGGAAGGAATGCATCAGAATTCAGTCTGTGGCTGGCATCACCCTGATTCCACAGCAAAAGACTGTGAAAAAAATAAAAAATACAGGCCAATATCACTGAATGTAGTTGCAGAAATCCTTAATAAAATACTAGCAAATCAAATTCAACCATACATTAAAAGGATCATACACCATGATCAAGTGGATTTATCCCAGGGATGCAGGGATGGTTCAGTATCTGCAAATCAGTTGTTGTAATATACCACATTAACAATTGAAGAATAAAAATCATATGATCATCTCAATAGATACAGTAAAAGCATTCGACAAAATTCAACATTTATGAATTTCTCAACATTCACTGATATATGAATGGATAAAGAAGATGTAGCATAGGTATAGAATGAAATATTACTCAGCCATAGAATAGAATGAAATCTTGCCATTTATGACAACATGGATGGACCTAGAGAGTATTATGGTAAGTGAAATAAGTCAGATGGAGAAAGACAAATACCATATGATTTCACTTTTTTTTTTGTATGGTAAGTTCTAGAATTTATTGTAAAATGAGATTTTTCTAACTATCCACAAAACTTATGTTTAAGGTTTTTCTTATATGTTGCTTTATTCAAAAAATATTTTTGAAGTTAAAATTAATATGAATAGTATTTGGTCAAATATGAACAACTACAGCAACGAGGCTGCACTGTCTATGAATGTGAATATGTGAAGAAAAACATCATTTACTAATTTGTAGAAGATAAAAAAGTTAACCTGATTTCACTTATATGAGGAATCTAAAAAATGAAGCAAAATGAACAAACATAACAGTCATAGATTCACAATAGACAGGTGGTTGCCAGAGGGAAGTGTGGTGGGGGAATGAGTGAAATAGGTGATAGAAATTAAGAGATACAAACTTTCAGTACAAAATACATGAGTCAACGTGATGAAATGTATAGTGGTGAGTATAGTCAATAATAGTGTAATATCTTTATGGTGGTAAAGGTGGTCAAAATGTACAAAGTTTCAGTTACAAGTAAGTAGTAGGGATGTAATGTACAATATGATTAATATAATTACCACTGTTTTATGTTATATGAAAATTTTTGAGTAAATCCTAAGAATTCTCATCACAAAGAAATTTATTTTTTCTATTTAATGTTGTATCTATATGAGATGATGGATGTTCACTAAACCTATGGTAATCATTTCCTGATTATGTAAGTCAAATCATTATGCTGTACACCTTAAACTTATGTAGTGTTATATATCAATTATCTCAAACTGGAAGTAAAAAACAAAGCTGAAACAAAAACCAACCAACCAAAACTAAGAAAGTCTTGAACACTTAGACTCAAATCTAATAGAAAATTGTCATGATTATTTGAAGGAGGGGGTGGGCAGAAGATTTGACACTGAAGAGAAGAAAGGTGTCAGTAAAGTGCCTTGAAAGTCATGCTAAGGAATTTAGATCTGATGTTTAGTAATGGGCAACCACTGCATGCTTCTGCATAGGGGATCCAAAGAATGAACTGTGCTGGAGAAAAAATTTCCAGTGAATGTAGTTAAAGGATAAAGATAGCCTTGTGACCTGAGTGCTATAATGTATAGAATTTATTATCTTGCTCCAGAGCCCCAAAATATTTTTCTTATATTTTCTTATGCATCAGATATAACAGTGCAAAGAATGAGAATGATGGCTCATTTCATTTTTTTGTCAGAACCTAACTTTCAAGAGATACGTGATATTTTAAAGCATTTTCCAGTTCTCATTTATGTTTTGTTACAGTTATGTATTGTTAGTACATGGATTATTGTTGACGTTAACTATTTTGTACTTACCATAGATGCATATATTTCAGTTATATGGATTGGTTAGGCTTATTTTAAAAATTGCCCTTCGCATTAATAACTCTTCCGTGGATGTGATTAAAAAAAAAATGAACCATTTGAACGATTGGTTTTTTCTCCCCTTCCCACCTCCCCCCACCCCAGTCTTTTCTAGCCCTGGTGAACCTGTTATCTTATCCTGCTGTTTATGAGCTTGTAGGCAATCAAGGTCTTCCTAATAAAGAAGAATATTCTCTTCGTGAAGTCCCATCGAGGGTTATTGTAAGTCATTTTCTTTTAATCTTTCATTCTTATAGTGCCGCTTTTTAAGATTTGTAGTAAAAATGCAATTTAACAGAAAAAAAGGTATACTAAATCACATTTAAAGACTGTTTGATTTATTAACCTATAGAATTTTAGCTTCTGAATTATCTGTAAATGAAATCTTTGATCCGACTGTCTAACAGTGGTGGCACCTATTGAAATAACAAGGTTAAGGCTTCCCAACTAGGAAGGAGATTTGGCATATGTAGAAGTATGTGTATGAATTATTTTTAGGTGGCTTACATTAATAAATTGTATCCAAGGAGTCCAGTGCATTTTCTGCCTATATTTTAAATGAACTACGTATTACTGCCCCATGAGGGCAGTATATACATATTTATTTAATTTGAGACTTATTTTATATTCATACTCTAAGATGGGTAATTTGTTTTAATCATTCAGAGACATTTAGTTCCTCATCTTTGGGTAAGTTTATGAATTGAACACACATAAATATGTGTATATATGCATTAGTAAAGAATTATTTAGTTCTGAAATTCTATTGTTAATCATTACTTTTATTTCTGGTCACTTTGTCCTGTGTGTTGTCCTTTTTTTACGGTTTTGACATTTTGAATTCTAATTCTTTTTGACCCTAAACATTTTATTTTTTTAAACTTTCTCTACTTTGGGAAATTTTTGATGACGTATATGAATGAAATATAAAGATAGGTATTTTTATCATTAAATGTTTATATTCTTGAAGTGTTCCAATTTTATCTTATCCTTGTATCTTGGCACTTTTTTTTTGCTTAATTTTTAAATTTATTTTTTTATACAGCAGGTTCCTATTAGTCATCAATTTTATACACATCAGTGTATACATGTTAATCCCAATCTCCCAATTCATCCCCCCACCCCTCCTTACCCCCCGCGGCTTTCCCCCCTTGGTGTCCATACGTTTGTTCTCTACATCTGTGTCTCAATTTCTGTATCTTGGCACTTCTTAAGTACTTTCATAATTAGCCATTTATGCGCCTATCCTCCCTACTATACTGTGAGGGCCTGAGAGCAAGTAGGATATCTTAGTCATATTTACATATAGAACATAGTAGATATCCAGTGAATGATTTTTAAAAATATTTCTAATATTATTACCTTTATTGAAATCTGTTATGGAACACAAGTACAAATGAATTATTTAATCTAGCGCAATGGCTTGGATGTTTGTTCTCAAGTTTTCGTGGATGTTCTACAATGCATAGTCAGAAATATCTTTCCACTTATGTTAGGATTGGTCTTTTAGTTTTTTTAAATAAATTTATTTATTTATTTTTGGCTGCGTTGGGTCTTTGTTGCTGCGTGCGGGCTTTCTCTAGTTGCGGTGAGCAGGGACCACTCTTCATTGCAATGCACGGGCTTCTCATTGCGGTGGCTTCTCTTGTTGTGGAGCATGGGCTCTAGGCGCATGGGCTTCAGTAGTTGTGGTGCTCGGGCTCAGTAGTTGTGGCCTGCGAGCTCTAGAGCACAGGCTCAGTAGTTGTGGCGCACGGGCTTAGTTGCTTCGTGGCATGTGGGACCTTCCAGGACCAGGGATCGAACCCTCATCCCTTGCATTGGAAGATGGATTCTCAACCACTGGACCACCAGGACGTCCTGCTCCTCTATCTTTGTGATTACTCCTTAGTGGTACGTAGAGCTCTTACTCATGCCTTTTTACAGTTACATAGTGCTCTTGTGTGGATGTACTAGAGCTTATTTATCCAGTTGTCTATTGGTGAACACTTGGTTTCTTTCAGTCTTTTGTTATTATCAATTATGCCAAAATTAATAGCCTTGGCTTATCTTGTGTTTACCAGTATGTCTGTAATTTTTTTTTGTATTGCTGCATAACAAATTGCTACCAACTTAGCAAATTAAAACACCCACTTATTATAGGTCAGAAGTCAAGTACTGTGCGCCTGGGTTTTCTGCTCAGAGTATTAAAAAGACTGGAATCAAAATGTTGGCCAGGTTGCATGCTTGTCTGGAGGCTCTGGGGAAAAATCCACGATAACAAATTCATTCTTGTTATTGGCAGAAGTCAGTTGCTTACAGTTGTGAGATTGAAGTGCCTGATTTCCTGCTGGCTGTCAGCAGGGGGCTGCTTTCAGGGCTTTGTCAGATTGTTCCCTCCATGTCAGCATTGAAGAACTTCACTCATGCTTTGAATCTCTCTGACTTCCTCTTCTGTGACCAGTCAGAGAAAACTCTGCTTTTAAGTGTCTCATGTGATGAGATCAGAGCCACCCTGATAATCTCCTCTTAAAATCAACTAATTAAGGGCTTTAATTACATCTGCAAAATCTCTTTACAGCACTACCTATTGATACATTAGTGTTTAAGGCCTGAGAATCTTGGGGCCATCTTAGAATTCTGCCTACTACTGATTTGGGGGCTGGATTTCTGTAAGTGGGATCACTGCGTTGAAAGGTAAATTCATATGTAATTTTGGTATGTATTGCTAGATTTCCAACCACAGGGAATAATTCTTCTGCATTCCCATCAATAAGATATTACAGTGCTTGTTTCCTGGCAGGCTCATAGAAGATAATGTGGTCGATGGTTTAGATATTTGTCTGACAGGAAAGAAGTGTTAATTTATATTTTTCTCATTATGAGCAGAATATTTTTTCATATGTTTAATGTCCATTGACGTTTCTTCTTCTCATAGTGGTCTTTCAACTTATTTTTTGCTTTTTTTCTATTTGTGTTATGTTTCTCAATTTTAAGAAATTCTTTATACTTTAAGAATATTTGGCCTTCACTCTTCATGGTTTCCTATTGAATATCTACCAAAATTCTAAGCCCTGGAACAACTTCCAACTTGTACTTGTTTATATTAAAGATGAATGACACAAAATATTCTTTTCCTCTGACAGATATATTTTTCAACTGCTTTTCTATTTCTTTTCTATTTATATACGTTGTATACTAGGTTGGACCCCTTTAGTTATTGGAGAAACTCAATTTGAATTAGTTTAGGCAAAAAAGGAATTGACTTACCATCTTGCAATAAAATCAGGGACAAGTGGCAATAGAACTTTGAATTCAGTCAGGTCGACATCTGTCTCTCTTGCTTTCCCCACCCCCTTTCTTATTGCTCTCCATTTTGACTTTATTGAAGGGCATATACATAGTATAGTGGTTAAGAGTTTGTATTCTGAAGCCAGACTGCCTGGATTAGATTCCTGGTTCTGCCTCTTACAAGCTGTGGGACCTTGGACAAGTTTGACCCATTTTCTCCTCTGTTAAAAAGAGGGCAATACTGTTACTATCTCAGGGTTGTAAGAATTCAGTTAATTGAATTAAATTAAATATAAAAGTTTAAATCACTGACTGGCAGATAAGTGGTATATAATTTTTTGCTGTAATTATTATTAATATGTTCTTCTGCAGATGGTGTCCTCTATAGAAGAACACACGGGAGGGACTACCTGTCATTCCATACAGACATGTTCACCATCCCCCCTTGTATTAGTTTCCTAGGGCCACCATAACAAATTACCACAAAGTGGGTGGCTTAAAACAACAAATTTATCCTCTCTCAGTTCTGGAGGCCAGAAGTCTGAAATCAAGTTGTCAACAGGACTACATTCCCTCCAGAGTTTCCAGGGGAGAATCCTTCCTTGCCTCTTCTCATTTCTGGTGGTTTCAGGCATTTCATAGCTTGTTACTGCATCCCTCCAATTTCTGCCTCCATCTTCACGTGGCCGTCTCCTTTTCTTTCTTAAATCTCCCTTTGTCTTTCTCTTATAAGAACACTTGTCATTAGATTTAGGGCCCACTTGCCTAATACAGGATGATCTTATTCTCAAGATCCTTAATTTAATTACCTCTGCAAAGACCTTTTTCCAAATAGGGTAACAATCATAGGTTCTGGGGATTAGAACATAGACATATCTTTTTTTTAGAGGGAGTCACCATTCAACTCACTACACCACCAGAGTAGCATTTTCCTCTACCTCCTGTCTATAGACTGAATGTTTGTATACCCCCCAAATTCATATATTGAAACCTCATTCCCAGTGTGATAATATTTGGAGGTAAGGTCTTTATAGGGTGACTAGTGCCTTATTAAAAACCCTAGAGAAACCTCTCACCTCTTCTGCCATCTGAAGACACAGCAAAAAGATGACAGATTGTGAACTAGAAAGTAGGTCGTCACCAGACAAAATCTCTGGCAACTTGATGTTGGACTAACCAGCCTCCAGAACTGTGAGAAATAAACTTTGTTATATATAAGCCACTCAGTCTATGCTATTCTATTACAGCATCCAGAATGGACTAAGACACTCCCCACTTTGAAAAATCCCAAGGGAGGACCTTAATAGACTGAGTTTTGTTCATGGATGTTTATGAACTAACCAATCACAAACCACTCCTAATAGTGCAGGTATAGGAGTATTGGCATTATGGTTGACATATTCCTCACCCTTCACTTGGCCCTTTCTTAAGTAAAAGGGATCAGATAGCACAAACACAGCCATTGGGACAATTGTAAACATAATAGGCACTCAAACATATATTGATTTATAGAGAATGCATATTCCTCTTTGTTTTTCCAGTCGTGGTTTCATTCTGGCTTACTAGATTACTGAACATATTCTCAAGCTAGACAATATGCTTTCTAAAAAGCACAGTTTCAGACTCCTTTTTGAGTCCCAAGCCTTACTTGCACTAACTTATTTCTCAGAAGCTGTTGCTTAATTTAGGAAACTGATTGCCTTATTGACACACATTGTAGTGCTTACAAACTGAATTTCTCCATAAGGTGGGCTTCCCGGGAGTTTACTTCCCTAAGTGGTGATCCATCAGTGTAATCCTCTTTGAAGAAGAATTTATTTACTGTAACATTTGTTCTCTGAAAATGCATTATCATTGATAGATAGCTGCTATTAGCTTGTTGGTAATACATTCTCTACCTTGTATTCTTACAGTATCTAGTACTTAGATTCAGAACTAGAACTTTGGAGGCACAAGGTGTCATGTACTGTTTTGAAATGAGTGTCCAGCTAAGTAGCAGCCAACAAGGACAGATTATTTAAGATAGCAATCTTTTCATTCTTCATTGTTAGGCAGTTTATTTAATATTTGCTGATTGTAAACTCTTTGTGCTAATATTTACACATTTTACAAGATGTTTGTAGAATGGTAAATGCATTCCTAAGTGTTCCATGTAAACTTTCAGTTGGTAAGTTCATACAAAATCCAGTTTTTACTGTGTCTTGTTTAGTATTTTTCAGATGTGATTTTTAGATCCATTATTTCCTCCTCCTTACAGTCTTATTTCCTGGCCTCTTATGTATTTGATATGTTTGTACTATCATCTACATAGACCTCAGGAAATATTATGTGACTGTTCCCTAGCATAACCATTTTTCTTTTGCCCTGTTGGTTACAGAAATATCTTGAATTTAAACTCGTGGAAGGTAACAAGTTTCTTGATCAGGAAAATGATCAGTGAGAGAGACAAGTATTTGCTATGAATAAATTTCTTAGGCCTGAACCCAAAGATATGCACAAAAGCCAGGTCTTATAGAAAGAAAGGCTTTTAGAGAATGCTCAAAATTTTGTGATAGGCTTAAATTGTCAGTGCTTGGGACAATTGATGGCACCTAGGCATCAGGTTCTCTCTGTACTTGCATCAGTGATTTTTAAGCATGGTTACCCATTGCAACAACAGTGGGAAGCTTTTACAAGGATGTTAATGCCAGAATCATACCCCAGGGATAGTGACTTAATTGCTTTGGGATAGAGCTTGGGCAGCTATTACACTTAATTTTTTTTTTTTTTTTTTTTTTTTTTGGCTGTGTTGGGTCTTTGCTGTGCGTGGGCTTTCTCTAGTTGCAGCGAGCGGGGGCTACTCTGTTGCAGTGCATGGGCTTCCCATTGTGGTGGCTTCTCTTGTTGCGGAGCGTGGGCTCTAGGCGCGCGGGCTTCAGTAGTTGTTGCATGCAGGCTCAGATGTGGCTCGCGGGCTCTAGAGAGCAGGCTCAGTAGTTGTGGCACACAGGCTCAGTAGTTGTGGCTCACGGGCTCTAGAGCGCAGGCTCGGTAGTTGTGGCACACGGGCTTTGTTGCTCTGTGACATGTGGGATCTTCCTGGACCAGGGCTCGAACCCGTGTCCCCTGCATTGGCAGGCAGATTCTTAACCACTGCGCTGCCAGGGAGGCCCTATATTTACTTTTTAAGTTCTCTAGGTGATTGCACTGTTTGCTCAGGGCTGGAAACAACTGCTTTATATGAGCAGAGAATATCTATTAACAAAATCTCAAATAGTTCCTAGATAAAACTATTTAAGTCCACCGTTCATGCTTCACATTTTTAGAGTTCATATTTGTTTTTCAAGGTAGTTTACATTTTTAGCAGTTTAAACAGTATTTAACGGGCTGCAATAAGCAGCTTTGGCTAAACATTTGATTCATTTCAGGAATGTTTACACGTCTTGATGCTCATACCACACCCAGACCAATTAATTCAGAATCTCTAGGGGTGAGATTTAGGCTTAATTAAAAAAAGGTTTTTTTAAACAGTTCCCTACATTCAAATGCAAAGCCGAGTTTGAGAACCACAAATCTAAATAAATATTTGTTGATTTGATTTTCTTTAAATGGTTTCAGCCAAGAACAATCTAACTAAGTCTCTTTTACAGGATATTATTGACAGACTTATAATTTTGAATTCTGAAGCCAAGATTCGTTCTTTATTCAACTATGAACAATCACACATCTTTGGTCTAAGGTAAGATGCTGAATTTCACTTGATCTTTTCTTATTGTGAAAACAGTTAAGGATATGTTCTATATACTTTAAAAAAATATTTAAAATAAGCTAATTTTTAAAGCATGTTTAAATGTAATTTGTCTTCCTGTAATATTACAAAGTAAATTATAGTCACTAGATTTTTACATTATGACTTTTGCCACATTTAGGTTCTGTATTATCACAGTGTATTTCACTTTTGCTCGATTCATTAGAGGCATTCTGTGGACTATTCAGTTTACTCAGGAGTCAACTGGGGCTTCCCTGGATTGGTGTTGGATTGGACTCCTGCCATAATATAGTCTTGAAAGAGGCCTAGAAATGGATGATTTATCTTGCCCAAATGTTGCTCCTCAATGTTAATCATACTCTTTAACCCAAGGATTAAATATTTTCTGGTTGAATTTATATTCCTTAACATTTAAAAGCAGCTGAATTAAAGAAAATTTTCACTTTCATAGGTTCATGATTTCCTTTCTACTAGCAAAGTAACTTTTAAAAGTATGAGGGGGCGGAGGTCCGTGAGAATGTTCTACCTAAGAAATAAAGCAATTACTTTTCTAAAATTAGATTTCTCTAATGGTAGTGTATATTATAAGTCTTAAGCCTTTTTTTACATTCATTAATAGCTGAGTTTCATTTTTGGATTTATAGTTCAAAGAAGGTAGGAAAAAAAGCTGCAGCTATTATAGTTCTTTGGGGTGGTATGCTCTTTATCTCAAAACGTACTTTCACATTAAATTTTAACTTTCTGTGAATAGCATCAGATAATCATATAGCAAGCAGTGATGAGGAATTCTGGGGAAAATCTATCAGTAGAATCTCCTTTTGCATAGCAAGTATGTTTCTGAGTTTTCTAATTCTAGAACATAGATTTTGGTCTCTTGTTGTTAATATGTTGAGTAAATTTTTTTTTTCTGTATGTTTTCTTTCTTTTATAGAGTAATATTTTCTTTTGGTGTTCTGGCAAAATATTTAGCAGTAGGATTTTAAGTCACGTAAAAAGCAATCCAAGAAGTAAAATGCTCCTGGGAATAAAATATATTAATTTGCATAGTGTATGCTTTCTCATAATGTCTAAATGGAAACTAGAAAATTTGCCATCCCGTTGTAGATACCTATAATAGCCGTGCAATATAGTGGTCAGCAGCATGGACTCTGGAGTCAGTCTACCTACTGTTTACTAGTTTTGTGAAGGGAGAGCTCAGTTACCCATCTGTAAAATGGAGGATAATTATATACTTTTCCTCACAGAGTTACCATGAGACTTACATATGAAAAATTAGAAGGGCTTATAGCAGTGCTTGGCACATAGCAAAAAGCACTGTAAAAATGTTAGTAATAGATATAAAGCAGCAGCACTTTGTTTCTTTATATCTGTCTACTTGCTGTATATGGTTTTTGAGTTTTACTTAGGAAATAAATTGACTTCATTTTTTCAGTATCTCAGTAGTCTTCCACACCTGCCAAGAAATGTGCTGTTTACAATATCAGCATTCAGACAAAGAAAATGACAAAACCACTTTTTGAGGAAAAGTTTGTATTTTAATTTTATGTGTCTTTTAACAAATTTTTCTTTGACAAGGAATTTCATGGTATTTTGAAGTCCATGCTTATAATACTCAGTTGTATTTTTAAGTTATGCGTCTCAAGTTAACTTTCATCTTTTAAATGAAACTTTCACTTTTCTATGAAAGTTTACTTTCATTTTTTAAATGAAACTTTCATTTGTCTATGAAAGTTTACTTTCATTTGTCTAATATTTCAGTCTAGCATCGGTCACTGAGGTCCAGTGGTGATAATTTAAATCATAGCTTAGTATTATATAAATCTCGTGTTTCTATGTATTTCAGATTTTTGCCTGTATCATTTTCTTTCACTCCCACAGTTTTTTGTTTTTAATTGTACCGTTCCCTCCCAGTAAGTCATCTCATTAATGTGCTTGATTTCTACATTTAGCATTGCTTTGTTCCATTCACTTTATTTTTTTTCCCCTTGCTTCAAAAATCTAGACTAGCATGATGGTAAGTTTGGTACAGTTTCTTTAGGTTTACCGCAGCTCTTAGATGAGGCTAATTTGGGGCCTAAGGAAATGTGGATTTTCACATTCAACAGCATCACATTCTATTTAAGTTTCTGAATTTTTATTTGCCAAGATCTTCTTACAAATCTTATATTGTAAATGACTAATATACAAGAAGGTTGCTCCTTTGATTAGCCCTCCTATCCTCTTTGTTTCCACTTCCAACCTGTCCTTTTCTACTACTGGTATCAGTGTGCAGACATGCCTTCACATCTCCCATTTTACAATGAAATGAAACAAAACACACGCACAGAGAAACTCCTTGACATCACATCTCTCTGCAGTCACTGTCCTATTTCTCTGCCTCTTGCAGCAAAATGTATCTATACGAACTGTCCCTACTTGCTCACCTCTGCTTACTTCTTAGCCCCCTTAGATTTGACACTGACTTTACAGTTCTGTCAGAACTGCACATCCTACTCATCTCAAGGTCACTTATAACTTTTATGCTGATGAATCTAGTGGATTCTTCTCTTGATCCTCATCTTACTGAAGGTAACATTTGACATAATGGGCCATTTCTGTGTGAAAGTTCTTTTAGCTTCTGTGATACCACATACTCCTATGGCTGCAGTTTCTCCTCCTTTTCATTCTCTAAGCAACTTCTGAATGTTCGAATACTCAGGGCTTGGTCCTGGGTCCACTTTTTTTCTTTACACTCTGCCCCTAGTTCATCCACTTACTCCTTTGCCTTTAAGTATCACCTGTATGCCAACGGATGCCCCAATTTATATCCCCAATCTAAACTATCATTCTGAGCTACTAGACTCATATATATGACTGCATCCTGATATCTCAATTCATACATTTCTCAGATATCACAAACTTGTCTAAAATTGAACTCTTGGGTCTTCTCCCACAAAAACAAAGCAAATCTTTCATTTCCATCTCATTAAGTGGCCCAACTATCTATTTAGTTGTTCAATCTTGAGTCATCTTAACTTTCTTTCTTTGTGTTTCAAACAATAATTTGTCTATTATAAAGAAATTAACCAATGCAGGAAATTAAATATAATAAATTAAATGAAATTCCTCCTAACTCTGAAAGTGATATTATTAACACTGAGGAAAATCATTCTAGATGTCTTATATGCATATACAGACAGAAGAATAGCTATATGGAAATATTTTATAAAAATGGAATCATAATATGGTTTCTATTTTAAATTCTAAATGAATTTTATAGAAAAGGAAAAGAAACCCTAGTGAAACAGAAGGAATTGCTGAATTTCAAATAGCTGTTTTTTCACTCCAGAGGTAATTATTTCCCCGGCAATTCCTAGAGCTTAAGAACAAAGATTATATAAAACACTTCAAGTGGTTTGAGCATTATAATTCACTTTTAGACAGTATGCTCTGTGCTACATGTGGGAGATGTAATAATGTGTAAATATGATGTGGTTCTCATTCTCTTTAACTTGGCTACCTAGTGAGGAATTGGATTTTAAGATAATGAAAAACGTGAGGTAATTAATGCAGAAGAGAATAGCATCTTGCGCGGTACGTGGGCCTCTCACTGTTGTGGCCTCTCGCGTTGCGGAGCCCAGGCTCCGGACGCGCAGGCTCAGAAGCCGTGGCTCAGGGGCCCAGCCGCTCTGCGGTATGCGGGATCTTCCTGGACTGGGGCATGAACCTCTGTCCCCTGCATCGGCAGGCGGACGCTCAACCACTGCGCCACCAGGGAAGCCTGAGAATAGCATCTTTATAAAGCTCTCCATCTTCCCATTTTAAATAACTGGCAATTCAAGACTCTATTATGGGCCTTTCAAGGAGCTCCAGAATATCTCCACCTTTCCTGTGTATAATATTTTCCACCTTCCTCAACCTGAACTAATGCTCTGAGTAAGTTAGACTTATCTCCCTCAAGCACAGTGTTTATTATTGCCTCTATACCTGTTTGTCTTGAATATTGTCTTCACTTCTGCTGTCTTTGTACAAATTTGGATCATCCTTCAAGGCAAAGCTTGCTTCATGAATTACTTTCTCCAGGGCTTATTATAAGAACACTCTGATAGTTTTCCTGAATGTCCTTTGCCTTTTTTGTCATTCACACATTCTTAATTTTATTTCTGTCTCTGACTAAAACTTCCCAAGGGAGTATCATTTTCTTTTACTTTCATGTCCACCACATTGCCAAGGACTTTTTGGTTATTTGTTTAACATTCATTTGCTAAATTTGTTGATTAAAAACAGTTGCCTGGAAACTTTTTTAAAGAAAGTTGTACATTATATGCTGGGTGCAAATTATTTTCTTGAACACCTGTCTTTTAAGGGCACTAATTAAGGCACAATGAGGTTTTTGTCCTGGATAATTTGAGCTATAATTAACATGACGTATTAATTTCAGGTGTGTAGCATAATGAGTTGATACTTGTATGTATTGTGAAACGGTCACCACAAAAGTCTAGTTAAGATCATCATCATACATAGTTACAGGAATCTTTTTTTTCTTGTGATGAGAACTTTTAAGATTTACTGTCTTAGCAGCTTTCAAATACAGAATACACTCTTCACCCATTTTGAGCGCCCCCCCACCGCCACCCTTGGCAATCACCAGTTTGTTCTCTGTATCTGAGCTATTTGGTTTTTTTTAAATAACATGCTTATATACTATGTCTTGATTTTTGAAATTTAGATTTGATCTCTTGTCTTTTTTGAATACTTTTAAAATTTTTATTTATTTATTTGGCTGCGTTGGGTCTTAGCTGCAACACTTGGGATCTTTGTCACTGCGTGTGGGATCTTTGTCGCAGCATGCAGGCTCTTTAGTTGCGGCATGTGAACTCTTAGTTATGACATGTGGGATCTTGTTCCCTGACCAGGGATCGAACCCGGGCCCCCTGCCTTGGGAATGCAGAGTCTTAGCCACTGGAACACCAGGGAAGTTTCTGATCTTT